TGGACCACTGGCTGTGAGTTTGACATGCTTGCTGATGGGTTTCCCTCATCTCTCTCTTTTTTCCAGTCTCTTTTTCTGACTCTAACTTCTCTACCAGACCTCACTTGTTAGAGGCCTCTGGCCTTGGTCTCCAGTGTTCTTTTCCTCTCTACTCATGCTTTTCTCACATGTTACTTCATCTAGTCCTGTGATTCAAAGCATTATCATCTGCTGTGTCCAGTAGAATTTTCTGAGATGATGGAAATAATCTGTATCTCAGTGTCCATTATATCGATAGTAGCCACTAGTCACATGTGGCTATTGAGTACTTGAAATGTGGCTAGTATAACTAAGGAACTAAATTTTAAATTTTATTTATTTTCATTAATCTGAATTTAAATAGACATGTGTTAAGGACTACTGTATTGAATAGCCTCAGTCTAAATCATTGTGTTTATAAACTATGGGTGATAACCCATTAACTGGTTATGGCCTGTGTTTTTTCAAAATAAAATAGAATGAAAATATCAAGATGCATTACATATAGAAAGCATTATCTTTGATAAAATGTTGGTTTTAGTCTTTTATCTCTGTCTACTAGGCTGCTATAACAATGTGTGGGTCACACATAGTATTTTAGTTTTTTAGTTTGTTTTTTAGTTGAAAGCCATTGATCTAGTGCTGGCGGTGCCCATATTTATGTATTCAGCCATGAACTGAAACCCAAAGTCATGTTTATTCTCTTGATATCTCCCCCCCAGATGTCTAGTAGACATCTCATATCTGTAAATCTTTTCCCCCCTTCAGTTATCCCGTCTCTGTGAATGCCACTGCTTTCTTCTAGTGATTCTGAGGAGGTCCTTAATTCCCTTTTCTCCTGTCCCTGCTCCCCCCTGCACCCTACCCCATTCAGCCCACCAGCAAGGACTTTTGGCTCTGCCTCTGAAATGGATCCTAAATCTATCCACTGATTTCCATTTCAGTTTCCAGCAACTTAACACCAAGAGACTGGCATCCCTTGCTTGGACCACACAACAGCTCCACACTGATCTCTTTTTCCCTCTTGTCTTCATAAAACCCATTCTCCACACAGCAGCCAAAGGGATTTTTTAAAAGCCCAAACCTGATCATGCTCTTGTCCTTGAAAGCAGCTGGTGACTTTACATTGCACCGAGAATGATTTCTCATTATCCAACTGTGGCCAACAAGGCCCTAGTATTTCTACCAGCTGACCTTGGCTTTCCTTTGCCAGGAATGTCCACTTTCTCACTGGTTTCTCTGCAAGGCCTCTGTATGTGTGCCGTGACCTAGATTCCCAGGCTGGCTTCATTTTGTTAATTCAGGGCTTAACTCAGATGTCATTTCCTCAAAGGGTTAACCATTCTGTGACCAAATGAGTGTCCTTAAATCAAGTCTAAGTGATCTGTTTTGGAAGTAAATGAGATATGTTATTACTTATATAGAATATTCTTGAGTAATAGAAACCAAGAGCTACCAATCAGTATTTTTGATTAGAGATCTTTGAATTTTCTTTGTGAATTATTTTAATCAACAAAATCTTTTTTGCAAGTGGTGTTGTCAAGTTTCTATCTGGAGAATATCTGAGTTGAGCATCTTACTATGCAAATTTAATGAACAGTTTAAAACACGCACAATAGGGTACATTAAGTTATAGACATAAATTATGTTAATATAAAATTTAAAATGAGGCTTTTATTAATGTTAATATATCATAAATACAAGATGAGTTATGCATTTTAACTTTTTAATCACTCAGATTTTTACACATCATATCCAATGTTTTAAGGAAATTTGAATTTGATTTGAATTACCAAATTACTCTTGTCTTGAAGAAGAAAGGTCTGTAGTTTAGATTACGTGTTTTCTTATATGATTTTAGTCTTATTTTATAATGATCTTTATGAAAAATATTATTAAAATAGTGAAGGATAGTACCAGACTTATTAACAAGATAAATGATAGGGTTTGCAATTCTGACTTTTGCTTGAAAAAAAGAGAGAAAAATGAAATCTTCACTTAAATGTTGGAACTTTTAACACATTAAAAACACCACAAAATTGAAATTGTATGTGCAGCATACTCTGCATCGTTTAAATCACACAGTAAAAGGGGCAATAGGAAATGCATTTAACTTTTCAAAATGGAAGCTGACTATAAGTGAGAGAATTGAGCATCATTTTATCCTAGAGAATTCTTAAAATTAGATGAAATTTTGTTCAGAAACTGAAATTAGGGCCTCATTTTATTCACATGGATTTTATTCTGTCTGAGTTCAGAAATGGGTGGCGATAAAAATGTTTTTGTCCTTCGACCCACTTTGGGATTGCTGTTCAAAGGGAATAATCCAAATTGCAGGCGAAGACTGATGCCCAAAGATGTTAACTGTGGCATTGTTGATCATTTTGAAAAACCATGAACCAACCAAGTCTCCATTGGTGGGGGAAATTGAGCAGATTGTAAAAATTAATTTTAATGATTATACAATCTTTTCTTTTTAGAAAGACAATTTAATGTTGTGGGGAAAAGTTCTGACATAATGCTAAATGGAAAAAAAAAGGATATATATATATATATATATATATATATATATATATATATATATGCAGTCTGATCTTAATTAGGTAAAAAATACTTTCCATAGAAGAAAATATGTTAATGGTGGTTCATTCTGAGGAGTAATTGTTGCTGGTTTGTATATTCTACTTTTTCTAGGCCAAGCTCATACTGCTCTTATAACAGCAAAAAGATTATTAAAAAAGGAAATAGGGTGTCTAATAGAAGATGAAATATTCAAGCTTATTGTGCTTTAGAGCCGGAGAATGGTTGCAGGCATCATTAGCATGGGAGCTGGTGACTAAGGGCTGTAATTGGGGTCAGAGATAGTCCAAGAGCTTAACCAGTGCAGAAGCTCAATGCAGAGGAAGGTTCCTTCGTGTTTTTGCTCAGCTCTGCATTGCTGGCTCTCACTTGCTGGCCAGAAAGTGTCGGACTGCTGTCTGCCTTGTCTTTGACCAACACAAATAGGAAGGCTAAGTCATTATCTAATAAATGTGATCTATTTAGTGGCCACATATTTTTGTGTGAACGCAGACTTTGAGTTTTATTTCATTGCAAGCGAGGCAACCTATGTACACATTCTTTTTCTCATCCGAGTTCTTTAACTGCTGAAATCGCCCTTAAAAGGACCACAAACATTGTAAAATGTGTTTAATTACTAATTCATTAAGTTTTCCTGTCAATTGATACTAAATATTTTAAAACATGAGGCAATCATGAAAGATTCCTGATGCTGTAAATTGGAAACCATTCTAGATTGTTCTTCAGTGTTTGGGTTCTTAGCCATGAGTCATGAAATCAGTTCAGCGGGTCTCTCAGCATTACTTTGTAAGTGAAATTAGCATACATAGAAACTATAGGGTCCATTGGTCATAGAAAATTTGAGTTCTTTACATTTTTATTTTAGGGGTGTGTTTATATGTCCTGGATTGTAAATGGAAAATGTGTGTGTGTTTTTAAAATGATAATTTGCAGGGGGGAAAAATCAAAAGTCTTCTTGTAACATAGACCAGTGCTTTTCAGTAAGATCCTAGGACCAGCAGCATAGGTGTCACTTGGGAGCTTGTTACAGATGCGGATTCTCGGGCCCCACCCAGACCTACTGAGTCAGACACTCCAGGGGTGGGCCCAACACTCTGTGGGTTAACAAGATTCCCTGGCCATTCTGGTGCACACTCAAATTCAGAACCGCTGGTCTCGTCCTGCCTTCCTGGGTGTGGTTCGGAGTCTAACACTGGCATCAGCGGGCAGCTAGCTGGGAATGCAAAATCCCAAACCCCAACCTGGATCTACTAAGTCAGAATCTACAGGCTTCAAGGGTGATTTATATGCTCGTTTAGAGGTTTGTCAAAGGTTTGGAAGCACTGATCTAAACCACATATGCCTTCAGGGGCCATGTGGACAATGTCAGTGAATGAAGGCAGCCTGGACTTCTCCGTAAAGATCACAGCTCGTCCCTGACTTAATGATGGTTCAGCTTATGATTTGTCTATTTCATGATGGTGCAAAAGTGATAGTTTAGTAGAAAACATACTTGGGCCAAAACTGGTTTGGCTCAGTGGCCTGCGAACTGAAAGGTCCCGGGTTCGATTCCGGTCAAGGGCACGTACCTTGGTTGCAGGCACATCCCCAGTAGAAGGTGTGCAAGAGGCAGCTGGTCGATGTATCTCTCTCATCGACGTTTCTAACTCTCTATCCCTCTCAATTCCTCTCTGTGTAAAATCAATAAAACATATTTTTTAAAAATTAAAAAAAAAAGAAAACATACTTGGAATTTTGATATTCTCTCTACTAGCAATAAGCAGTATAATATTCTCTCACGATGCTGGACAGTGGCAGTGAGATGACTTTGCCCAATAGGTAGTGCTGCTAGTGTTCTGAGCCTGTGTAAGGGATGCTAGGCTAAGCTATGATCTTCCATAGGTTAGGTGTATTCAATGCATTTTTAACTTATAGTATTTCCCCCAAATATATTTCTGTAATTTCAGAGAGGAAGGGAGAGGGAGGGAGAAAGAAAGATAGAAACATTAATGATGAAGAGTATCATTGACTGGCTGCCTCCAGCATGCCCCCCACGGGGGATCGAGTCTGAAACCCAGGCATGTACCCTGACTAGAACTGAACCGTGACCTCTTGGTTCATAGGTTGACACTCAACTACTGAGCCACACCAGTCAGGATTAACGTACAGTATTTTGAACCTAAATCCCTTGTATGTTGGTCAAGGAGCATCTCAATAGCAATTAGAAGGCATTATGGTGTGAAATGTAAGCACTTTTCATGTGTTTAAAAATGTCCTGCCTTATATCAGCTGAGATTAATGCATCCAAACAAACGCATCAACTGAGGTTAACTTTAATTGACATCCGTTACTTCGAGCAGATTTTCAACCCACAATTTTAATAGAGTGACCCCCACACATTAACGTCTTCTGCCCTCTTTTAGGAATTTATCAAGGAGCTGCTCTCTCGGATAAGAGGCATGAGGAAATTGAGCCCCCCGCAGAAGAAGGCTGTGTGATTCTGCACAGGATGGAGCTGCCGGGAGACCAAGATAGGGTCCCGGGAACTGGACTTCACTCAGACTATTCTTCAACTTCTTTGGGGGCGGGGGGATCTGTTAGACATTTATTCAAGAGTGTTCCGTTTTTGGTTTCTAAAAGGTTTTGTTAGTGAACTATTTTATTAGCAAAGATATCATGACTCTGGTTTCAGCCTAACCAGGGATTGTCAAATCAGACAGCCATCCAAGGATGGGCTGGGCTAGGCAGTATTTTCTTCGAGAAATCCGATGTTGCTGACCTAACTATACAGGGATGATGGTTTTGTTGTTGTTGTTGTTGTTGTTTTTACAACTAGTTGGGTAATCCTTTTTTACTTAAGTTCTGCGTTTGACTCCTCCTTGTATATATCTACACACACAGAGTTACAGCGTAGATGTGCGCTTTGTTTCACATTGATGAAATGAACATGTGGTCGTCCTTTAACGGGAGGTCACAGCGCGTGCGTTGGCCAGAGGCCACTGAGTATTCTTCATGTGAGTGCTGCTGACCCCCGACATCTGCTTCGTGCACCAAAGTGAGAGAATCCAGTGTACCCGATGTTTGAATGAGCTATACTACAAAGGTGTTGAGTTGGTCAAGGGCTTACTTTATGGACTTTATATGATTTCATTCATTGGGATGCTTTGCCAGGTCGTGTGCTTATTGCCTCGTTTGTGGTATTTTCTAAAGTTTTACGAATCCTTCGTTGGGTGAACTACTGGGGTGTCTAGAGAGCAGCCCACACTATCTGGGCAGTGTTTTCTGTGGAAAATGGGAGCACCGGGTAGCAACGAATTCTCTGCTTTAAACCCAGTACTGTGTAATATCCTCTCCTTTGGAAAGCAGGTCAAAAGGAAGCCAGCAAATTATGCAGCTCCCTTCTTAGAAGTAGGTTCTGGTCACTTCTGTGCCCGGGCAGCAGCAGACCAGAGGGGTGTGTGTGCTCAGTGGTGAGCAGAGGGAGGGGTGGGGAAGCCTCTCCTTCTCTCAAGAAAGTTGGAGGAGGAGCATTGGCTGGTCGGGAAGCTCGGTGGAGAGTGCGTTTCTGGTTTCTCAAAGCGGCATATGGTGAAGACTCTGGCTCTAGGCACCCCAATTCCCTTGCCTGGAGGTAGGCCTGGGACGCCTGTCCTGCCCCTCTCAGTTACATACCAGCTCCTTGGGGGAGGCTCAAAATTCAGATGGACTCTGGTGGAGTAAAAGGTCAGAGTAGAAACTCTTGCTTCCCTCCAGGAGGTCCCGCTGCCTCCCCACAGAGGCCCCGCCTGCAGTGAGCTATGTCTGGGGGACCCTGTTGGAGCACAGGGGTCAGGCATTTTCTATCAAGGGTGCTTTGAACATATTTTATTTTTTAAAAGAACTATGTTTGTGAACTTTATGTATACTGGCAAGCTTTTGAAAATGTATTTAATTTTGTAATGTTTACCAATGATTTCTTTACAAGCTATTTACTCAAATAAATGGAGCTGCTTACAACTCTGCTCACCGTTCGCCTCGTCAAAAAAAAAGAGTCACGTGCTGACTTCACTCTGTCAGGCGCTCTGCATAGGAGGGGCCGGGCCGCCATGTCTATCTGTCCTTTCTAAGGCAGTGGGGCCCGGCCCTCTCCTGCTGAGAGCAGCAGAGCTAGAGGACTTTCCAGGGTTGAGAAGGAAACAGAAGGTGAGTTCCGGGCACTTGGTCCCGCCTGCCTTCTGTTCTAACCCTCTCCTCGGCCGTGCCCCTTCCTTGTATTAAAGCTTTCCTTTACCCATCTGATATAAATCCTCAGGAAGATTTCAAACTAATCAGCTATCCCAATTACCGTGAGAATGCCATGCACCCTGTAAGTACAGAAAAATGCAGGATTTGTACAATTTTCCTGAGGCTTGACCAGCCCAAGTTATGGGCTTCAGATAAAGCAAGATTGAGCTTTTCCTCCGAAGGCCTTTGATTCTGCCACAGAACATACTCCCGCCTTCCCTCCCTTCCTTCACTCAGGGCCTGGCATCATCTGATGTCCCCTGGGCACTCAAGCCACTAGCGTGGGCCTCATCTGACTCCCATTCCTGCCCCCAACACAGGCCCAGTCACTACGCTCATCTTCCCCTCATATCTCTGATCCGTCCCTTGTGAACGCTTGCCTTCATGGCTGGAACCATTGGAGTTGGCTTCTCCATGTCCAGTCTTGCCTCTCTCTGATCTGCTCTCCACCCAGTAGCCAGAATAATCTTTCTGAAAGACAGCTCTGATCATTCCACTTCCCTACATAAAATCCAGACATTGCTACATTTCTTACAAGGAATTGGTCTCTGGGTCTCCCGCCCCACCTCTTGGCCTTGCACTGATGGCTAGTCAGTTGAATTCTTTGGGATCTCTGGAATGTTCGACATATTTTCTCATTTGGGGCTTTGCAGGAACTATTGCCTTGGTCTGAAACCTCCTCTCTGCAGCAGGCTCTATCTGAAGAGCTTCCAGTTTGACCCCTCATGGCATGTATCCACAGCATTATTACTGTCACTTCCCCTGTTCGTCTCTTCTGTTACACTAGAACCCTTGAGGATGGGACTGGATTTTATAACTCAAGCACCTGCTCTTGTGCTCGGTCCATCAAAGGGATCAATATGTGTTTGCCAACGGAATAAATAACATAAAAGGTTCTTCAAGAAAGCTCAGTTGTTTCCTTCCCAGCTGGGATAGTGGTTCTTAGACCTTAATGTACATTTGTTTCATGCGGGAAGCTTTCAGAACTGCTGAAGCCTAGACCCTCCTCCTGCCCATTTTCGTCAGCAGCTGTAGGAGCAGATTTTAGGCACGTGTCCTTACTAGCTCCCGGACTGAGACCCCTGGGCCACTGTGTCATTCTTGTGTCGCCTGATGCGTGAGTTGGACTTCAGCTCACCATGTCTGTGCTGTTACAGCAGGTGGCAGCTATGACATCAGCATGCTGACTAGTTCTCATTTTATTTTCTGCTGGAGAGGAATGAATGAAGCCCAGTACTGAGGGATGACTCCTCAGTCTCCAGCTTCTAGTTCAGTGCTCCCTTCAACACTGAAAAATCAGAGGTAAAACTTTGCCGAGTGGCGTCTGTTCTCCTCAATAATAGTAACGGTTCCTGCTTATGTATCACTGTGCTCAGGGCTTACATACCTTATCTCATTTAATCTCAACATTATTGGTACCAGGTAAATTGCACGAACCTCGTTTTACAAATGAAAAAACGAACTCAGAAAGGTTGAGCAGCTAACCTGAGGTCATACAGTTACAGAGCTGAAATGCAAACCCAGTCCTGTTGGATCCACACCCCTGGACCATGAGGCTTTCCTGCCTCTCACAGGGGGTTAATTTCATCCTCGCTCACATGAGGGAAAGCCATGAGCTGCATCTGATGTGAGCTGGGCCCCCAAACCTATGCGTGGGGGTTGGGGTGCTCTGAGATTGGAGAGGGTCCCTGGCTTCTTCCTCACCCCAGGGGCTCTCTGCTCCTGAGCCGGCTCTGTGCTGCTTCCCCCTAACAAAAGGCTCCTGACGTGGCCATGGCTACTGAGCATGGACTGTCTTTTCATCAGCCTCCTGAGAAGGCAGCATTGGGAGAAAGAGTGGCACAGGGTACAGTGCTTTGCAATTCCCGTAACAGGCAGGTGTCTGATTTTCCTGTACCACCTGGAGTCCCCACAAAAGATTGTGCAGAATCAGCTTCTCAACAATAGGTGAGTATGTAATTATACCTCACTCTTCCAAGATGATGCAGTGGTTGGAAATATGAGGTCTTTTTTTAAATTTTATTTCAGAGAGAGGAAAGGAGAGGGAAAGAGAGATAGAAACATCAATGCGAATTATTGATTGGCTGCCTCCTATATACCCCCTAAAGGGGATGAGCCCCAAATCTTGTCATGTGCCTTGACTGGGAATTGAGTCATGACTTCCTGGTTGGACACCTGAGGTCATTTTGAGCCATGACTATCACTTCCCTACCACTGACTGAAGGGGCCCAGGCCAAGACAGAGCCAGGCTGGCCCAGGCACTAGGCCTACTGCCTGGAGAAGCAGGTGGGAGAGGACCCTTTCCCTTTCGCAGTGCAGGAGAGGCTGCCAGGGGGAGCCAGACACTTGCCCTGTGGCCTAGCTCTGCACTGGGCATGCTCCACACTCAGCCTGCTGGGATTGAGCCTGTCATTCCTTATGCATCTTCATTTTTAACAAAAAAGTTTTAAAAGTTAAAAAAAAAAAATAGAAAATTTTAAAATAGAAAAAAAGCTTATAGGATAAGGATATAAATAAAGAAAATATGTTTGGATAGCTGTGCAAAGTGTTTGTGTTTTAAGCTTAGTGCTATTACAAAAGAATTAAAAGTTGAAAAAAATAAGTTTATAAGGTAAAAATGGCATAGTAAGCTAAGGTTAATTTGTTATTTTAACGATAAATTCTTTATAGATAGTGTTTCTGAAGTCTCCAGTGTGTACAGTATGCTCCAGGCCTTCACACTTATTCATCCTCACTCACTGACTCACCCAGAGCAAGTCCAGTCCTGCGAGCTGCGCTCATGGTAAGTGCCTTCCCTGTACAAGTGTGCCATTTTTACTTTAACCACATTGTGCTGAACCTTGTCTATGTGTAGATACATAAATATTTACCACTAGAGACCTGGTGTACAAATTCATGCACAGGTGGGTCCATCGGCCTAGCCAGCGATCCAGGCTTATTGAGGCCCCCTTGCCCAGTCCCAATTGAGGTGACTAGGTCTGGCTGGCCAGGGGGAGGGACCATGGGAGGTTGGCTGGCCATGGGAGGCTGATTGTGGGAGAGTACTGACTACCAGGGTGCAGTTTCTCCTGAGTTGAGCATCTGTCCCCTGGTGGTCATTGTGTGTCACAGCAACCAGTAAACTATATATATATATGTGTGTGTGTGTGTGTGTGTGTGTGTGTGTGTGTGTGTGTGTATACTGTTACAATTGCTTACAGAATCAGTAAAAAACATGTTGTACTGCTTTCTAGCAATAGGCAATAGCTTACAGCCTAGGTGTGTAATAGGTTAGACCATCTAGGTTTGTGTAGATGCAGTCTATAATGTTTGCATGACTATAAAATCACCTAACAACACATTTCTCAGGACCTATCCCTGTTGTTGACACATGACTCTATACACTTGATCATATTTATATTTTTAATTCAGTGTTACCATTGTTGGGAGAAAATTCCATATGGGTCTCTCATGTTTCTGCATGTTTGTGAGCAGAGACTACCATAGTTCTGAATAATTGTTTTATGTAAGTATAGCAAATAGCCTTGGAAGATATATAGTTTCTCCCTCTAGGGCAGTTATTTTCAACCAGTGTGCCCCAATATTTTTAAAATATGCACATATTGTGGCATCGATTGAAAATTATTGCTCTAGAGAAGTGGTTGGACCACCGATGGTCGGTGAGGTCTGAAAGGTTGGCGACGCTGCTCTAGAGCAAAGAGCAGAGGAGCTTACTGCCCATTATGAACGATGAGGGTTCCCTAAGTTCAGAGTTCCTTCTCCTGTAATGTAACCCACAGCATGTGCAGCTGTCACCTAGCCTTCTTTGCAAACCTCTGTGGGAATTGAGACTTGATAAATCAGAGCCAAAATACGTTGCTATTCTAGCTACTGCTATTTATGTGATAGAGTAATAAACCATCCTTTTCTTTCTGACCCCGGATCATTCGGCCTTCTATAGGCAGCGTCAGTGATGCTGTCGCAGGCAAACTTGTCAGATTGTGGTAGGGTCCAATTTCATAGCCTGCACAAGTCTTGACAACAGTCAATCTTCTCGGTCTCTTTTAGTATGACTTGTATCATTCTTGTGGCTAGGAGATATCTTCTTATATTTACACTCAGACTACTCATTTTCAACTATTAGGGGCAGATGTTTCCTTTAAAGGGATCTGTGTCTAAAAAATGGTTGTTCTGTAGACAGAAATTACTTTCTCCCTTCCTCCTTGTCAGCAGCAAAAAGGGAATGCAGGGAAAATGAGCAATAGAAGAGAGACACGCCGAATTTACAGAAAAATGACACCCCCGGGAAGTGGAGAAGACAAGCAAATGGCAATTCTTGCCACCACATCTTTTCCTTTGAAATATGTGCCTAAATAATACGTGTGGCACATTATCACTTGCTATTTTGAAGTTTCTAAATTAAACTCCAAAAGCAGTTTTGAGACTAATTTATTTGCAGTATCACAGTCCACCACAGTGGTAGCTGAAACCAAAAATAGACACTGAGCTCATGGAATATCTGGTGTTACCAGATTGGTTCTTGTCAGGTCGAAAAGTGATCTATATAGAGCGTGACCCCACATACCCTGCGGGC